CTACGTCAGCCAACCAAAATAAATGTAGAGGATATGAGACTTCCCAGAATGTCATATTCATAAAACCTGTTGCAATGGTCTTTTCTGTCTGAGGAAGTGGTCAGTTGGATTTGTGCCTCAGTGTTTGTATCAAATGTTGAGAAGTCTCTAGTTTGGTGTTGCTTTGCTCAGCATTAAGCTGATTCTGTTAAACTGGTGTCCTCTTACTCAGCCACTTAATGATATTAAAAAGACATTAAGCAGGATTGGCAGAATGATTGTCACAAGTGAAAGTATAATCTTTGTTGGTCAGCGAACAGAATTGTTTGACAAAAAGACAAAGCTACAGAGCATTACATTCATGGATATTGTTGTCAAGCAATGTTCAATTTTGCAACTAAAGGGATCCAATGGTTCTTATGATCTAACATTCTATAGTTGGACTGTGAGCGTAACTTATTGACTTTATTTTATTTTTCCTGTTAGGGTGTTTTATTTTGTTGTAACATTGTGTCATATTCTGCTAGCATTAGCATTGCTGAGATATCTGTTAGAATTTGTCATTGGGTTGTCAGTAATATAAAATAAAATGATGCACTTGTTTTTTTCTTCCTTTGAAATTCAAGCTGTGCTGTGAGTTCAATCAGTACAAATCTCTATGCTTTACATCATTCTCAACCATTTTCTTCTTTTAAGCATCTGTGAACTGATTTCTGTAGTGAAATTAACTGTTTTGAAAGGGTCAGATGTTTTGTGTGTTGAGTCAGGAGCCTGGTTGACCAGTGGTAACTGGTGATGATTAATCTCCTGATGATTGATCATCACTGTTGTTCAGTTTCATCATCCTTTGCTGACCGCAGCATCTAAGTGAATTATTACTTTGCCTCAAGGTGCTTACAGCATCTTCTAAACTTAGACCCTCAAGATACATCCCACAATCCATTTTGCCATAGTAATAAAACATGCAGGGGATTCTCAGCAATTCAAAATATCCAAAAATATTCATTGACCTCACATGAACAGGTGTTAGTTTTAAGGTGGGTGTCAGTCACTTACATAAAGGAAACAGAAGCCACTGCAGGATGTAAATAATGGAAGCCAGGTATATACACTGTAACTACAGCTGGAGTTTACCACTGCCATTTAGCAACACTTTGCCAGCCATTTCATGCAATAAGCCTGTAATTTTCTTTACAGTTTGAGAATGAGTGCGCAGACGCAGTGTGTTAGCTCATCTACTGTGTTGTGCTTTAGGAGTTCTGGAGTCCAACTCTCTCTGTCCAAAGTACTATATTATAAATAAACATGTCTTAAAAAAAATAAGGAAGGAAGAGACAGTGTCATGTTCCTCCCCGTTGTGTCAGTGCTTTTTCATCATATTTCCTGCTGCTCTCACCAGAGCAAGCAGCTCACAAACTTCCGAAAACCCTTTTTACTACCCTGTACATACAATAAAAAATCATAAAACACAGAACAAATGCACCCTTTCTATAATTATTGTGACATTATTGTGTACCGTACTTTTAAACTTTTACAGGTGCTGTATTAGTTTTAAATGATGTTGGACAGCTGTTATCAGTGTCCTTCAAACTAAATATATACTATTCAGCTGGCTGACATCCACAGCACTATCAGAGCATCCAAATGATCTTTAATCTGTATCTAATCAACTTGTGGTTGTTTAATTCTGGCCGCTACAGTCTGTCACCAGTTGGCTGTTTGCCTGGTTGTTTTCTTGCTACCTGGGGTAATGTGCCCCAGTGCTTTCTCATTTTTAATTCTAACCAAATCATTTTGGCCTCCAAGAAATCCACAAAGTTAAGTACAAATTATTCCACATGGCTTTGTTTTGTGTGATTGAAGACAGCCATATTTCTGTGTCATGAAAAATGCCAAGTGATGGGCTGTATTATTCAGCAGGACTATGGGTAAAATGTAGACAGTATGCAGGTGGGAAATGCTACCGACAAGTAGTAAACCATTCAAAAAGGAAAATAAAATAAAAACACCAAGAGTTGTAGTTCACTTTAGTTCCAATTTCAAGCCCTGTAGGCAATAATAATATCATAATATATTATATATATTATGGATAAACTTTACAGCGAGCTGAACATACTTTACATTCTTACATGTCATTTTCAAATGCTTTTAATATATTTCACGAGTTCACCTGGAACTCTCGAAGTGAAGCCATTGCAGTAGGTGTGTGGCCATGCCATAGGGTTACTGCGGTCAGATCCTAGCTGGAGTTTTGTAGATCAGATTCCTGGCTTTGATTTAATCCACTTAAGATACATAGAGTCATAAAGTTTTTATGAAAGTTCATAATGTGGTCTGTGGTGGCCAGCGCCTCTTTTATGCTGTGGTTTGCTGGGGAGGAAGCAGCAAGAAGAGAGACACCGGTCGACTGGACAGACTGTGAGGAGAGCTGCGCATCTAGATAGTATCTATCTATCTAACCTATCTATCTATCTATCGTATCTTATCTATTCTATCTATCTATCGTCTAATCTTCCTATCGTATCGCTATCATCATCTATCCTATCATATCTATCTATCATAATGAGAAATTGCAGTAATACGTTGCTGATGAGAGGCTTCCAAATTGGGGAAAGATGTTGAAACTGAAAACGTTTCCTTTCCTGAAGTTTCCTTTTTCAATTCAGGTTTTTTTTTAAGGCCAGATTGAGAATTTTTGTTTTAGCTCTATAGTTAACATGACGAGTGCTGGCCAGGGCTTTGGGGCCCACACTGACCTCAACAGATGAAGATGGTGGGTTACTTGTTCAGCTTCACTTTCCCGGGTCAGATTTTATTTCACATTCATATTCATGTCTGTGAACTGAAGTAATACTTGTTATGCAAGAAGTGGGCAGAATTAAAGGTGTGCAGGCTCTCACCATACACGACAGATGTCAAGAGAGGATATACTATAGCCTCCTATGATACAGAAATCCATCATGTTTTTTTTATAAAAAAGTCATCTTATATCAAATTCATGGATTTTCTTACAGGGTGGAAAATAGTTTTTTAAAACTCTTTTGACCTGACCAGAGGGGTGGAGAAAATTTGTCTTTGGGTATTGAGTAACTAGTCATGATGTTTTTAGCCAAAGATTCAACATGAACATTAACAAAAATGTGCAAATAATCAAGGGTCAGGTTAACCTGGGATGGAAATCAGGCCTGATATGAACTTTGAAATTTGTCAACAGAGAGCCAAATTTCTGACCTCTTTTTGTTGGGTTTTTTCAGATTAAATAGTCAGCAGCAGCAATCTGTGTGTATTGGACTCCAGGTTCATGTTCTGCCCTATGGTACTGTTTTTCTCTGAGTGTGTCCCTGTTTTGTACAAAGATAACATGACAAGATCACCATGAAACAATTCAGCTGGAACTCCATAAAATAATATTACATCCTCTTCTTAAAGTGTCCTTAGGATAGCACATGACATGGCTAAGAAGAAGTCCAAAAATGGAACAAGTGCAGTCCTTATACAATACTTTCCACTCATATCATCATATCTTAAGATGTTTGATTTGAAAGAGAACTTCATTGATAATATATAGTTGATAATAGAGTTTATTAATCAGTAAATATATTCTACAGTTTATATAAAGGGAAAGGTGTGAGAATGACATACAGTGTTTAAAGTGTGTTTGTTTTTTCAACAACGCATAAATGGTGTGTACAATATACACATACATAGTAGGATAATGAATGATGTAGGTTAATGACAAAGATTAAAGCTAAGATAGTAAAGATACATGTAAGTGGCATAGCAGCCAGAATGGTGTCAGCAGCAACTAGGGCATTGGGGGTCAATGCCTGCCCAATGAATTTGCCAAATCAAATTACAAGCATGTCACAATTGGTTCACAATCAGACTAACAATTAAAAAAAACGTATTGTAATGCGTGTGTGGTTTTAAATTATTTCAACAAACAATTAATGAAGATTGCATGTTTTGTCTCTAGAATATATCTAATCAGATCACTGGACATGATTCAAAGTAGGAAATAAAGAATAAAGTCCATTGCTTGGTTGTGAGTGCTTTTAAAGCAGCGATTCAACACAAGCATACATGTTGGACGATTTGAATGAGATGAGAGCAGCAAATTTAAAACCCTCTTCCTCACATACAGGAAACAGCACAAAGTTTATGAGGTGAAGGGTTGAGGGAGAGGCCCACACGTGGAGTCAGGTCCAGTTCATCCTCTGACACTCCAGGTGGAGGAATGAAACGAAAGTTTTGCATGAGGGTGGCGAAGAAGATGAGGAGCTCCATCCTGGCCAGACTCTCTCCGGGACAAGCTCTGCGACCTGTAAAAGAGAAAAGGGAAAAGCTTCAGGTCATCTGTGAGGAAACTGAACATCGACCAGAAAGGATGAGTTCACAAACCTGCAGAAAAAGGCATAAAGGCGTCTCGCTTGACAAACTTTCCATCTTTATTCAGGAAGTGGGAAGGATTAAAGGTGTGTGGGCTCACCCACTCACTCTCATCATACAGGACAGATGTCAAGAGAGGATACACTGTGGTCCCCTGTAGAAAAGACACATATTGAACTTCCTGGAAATACAAAAATAAATACAAAACAATAACATTCCCCTGAAACAACTTGTTCATGCTTTATTTTAATTGATTTTTGTCTGACCTTCTTAATGAAGTGACCCTGGAAAGTGATGTCTCGGCTGGTTCTGTGAGGAAGTGCTACAGGGGCGATGTTGGCCAGTCTCTGTGTCTCATGGATGACAGCATCAGTGAAGGGCAGGTTCTTCCTGTCCTCGACCTGCACCTGACGACTTCCTATCACCGTGCTCAGCTCCTCCCGGACCTGGTCTGGGAGATGAAAGAGGATAGATGAATCATTTCAGTTTGCCATCATTATTGAGTCTCTGTAGATAAAGAAAATCTAACCTTGTATCAGCAACACTATTTTTTTTTCTGTGAGAACAATTTTGTGTAACTTGGAATCTATGTTTACATATGAAAGCTGTGCACATTTACAGCTCCTTACCCTGTATTTTTGGATATTTGGTCATAAATAGAAGGCCCCATCTGACTGTAGTTGCTGTCGTATCAGTGCCAGCAACAAACAGATTCAGCACTGTCACCAAAAGATTTTCATTGTGGAAGTGACTGTTGGTAATCCCAGATTTCTGCATATAAAGATCAGCAGTTATTTACCTGTTTCCAAAATTTGCAGTGTCATATTATTGTTAAAGAATCACCAAGAATGAATGAGATTGTTTATTTAGGTAGTAGTGTACAATGATCCTTTCATTGTCAACTCTAGTATTATCCTTAATAGCCTGTAGACTCCATGACACATTATTTTTGAGTATTTGCTTTTTTCACCACCTGGGGAGAAGCAACATGAGGACGGCATAACATGGAAACAACGTCACATTATTCCACTCGCTGTATTAACTAACATATACATTTTAGATTAAGTTACATGTTTCCCAACCTCTAGATTTTGCTTGTGAGCCAGAAAGGCATCTACAAAGCCTCTGCACATTTGTGGATTGAGGGTCTCTTTCAAACGACTGAACAGCTCTAAGTTCTGTTTCCTGTTGGCAGCAAACAATCTGCGGTATTCCCTCCGATTGGCAATCCATTTGCAGAGCCACGGGAACAAGTTGTACATCTGTCAAAAATATAAACATTTAAATATTTAAAACAATATATAATGAAAAGTTGTATAATGTCTTATCTGTATTTAATATTTAAATTACAATGCTGAAAATATAAACTTCAGAAACATAAGAAATGATACCTGTATCGACGGGGTCCCTAAAAGTTGCATGTTTCTGTTTGTCCGATCCACCAGGGATGTAAACTCTGGGTCATCATATTCAAATCTGCTGCCATAGGTGATTGAGCAGATAATATTAGAGACTGCATAGTTTATTGGTCGGGCCGTATCAAAAGCTTTTCCTGCAACAAGGGAAAAACAAAAAATAAAATCAATTTGTACTCAAACTGTTGCTATAGCTAGTTAAAATATGCCATTTACCTTTGAATTTCTTAAACACTTCAATGAGTTGGTGACATTCCTCAATGATTTTGTCCTCACAGGCCTTCTTGCCCATCCCAAAGTCTCTCAGGTTAGTCAAGGCAAAGCGCCTCATCTCTTTCCATGAATCTCCATTAGACCATATAATTCCTGAGTTGAAGTAGTTCAACAGATTTGAAAAACGTGAATAAAGGATATACATATTTTATTTTATTATACAACATCAGCCACAACAGGGAGATGGTTGGACTATAGCTTTGTTCTTTATTAGCTTACCATTTCCTTGAAAAAATTCATGCAAAACTAGCATTTGATCTCGGTCTCCAAACTCATCAGCGTAGTTGACAAGAGCCTCCTTCACTGTCTTGTATCCTGCCAGGACCACCACTTTCTTGGGTCCCAAATAGACGGTGAACACTGACCCATATTTCTTGGAAAGCTAACAAAAGGGGCACACTGTCAAGACATTTTCTTGCTTAACACACACACACTAGAGAAAGCAAACAAGGTGATGGAACTGCTGACAGTATACCTGCCTAGACAGAAAACAAAAGCTAAATAAAAACCTACTCCAGCAAACTCTTTACCTTCAGTAATGTGTTATAGGGTCTCTTGAGGTCCATCTGCAGCAGGTTACCCAGCAGGGGAAGTGGTTTTGGTCCTGGAGGTTCATTCTCTTTTGCCTGGGAGCTGAAGCTGGAAGTGGAGAATAGGTAGACAAGAAGCAGGAACACCAGAGCTCCTAAGATTGACACAACACTGGAAGACTGGAGAAAAAGGTCTAATATCACCATTACTGGAAAAAAATCTGTATTTGTTTGTTGCCACTGCAGTGAAAAGTTCCCTAACCTGCTCGATTTGGCTCTGTTGGTGTTTTAAAAAAGATAAATGGCTTCTGTGACTGTAAAATGAGAACACAGCCCAAAGGTCAGAATATACCTTGACGCTGAACAACACTAGTAAGTCATTGCTCTTGCGTAATTTTTAGGTCAGCATTCGTTGTAATTTGATCAGATGGTGCAATCAGTTTGCAATTGGAAATGCAAGTTTCCAACAGGTAGACAGTACTGCAGGCGTGGAAAGTTCCCTGCAGTGTTGCATTAAATATAGCTAAAGATAGATTATTATTTTTTGGTTGCCAGAGGGGTTAAAGGCAGAAGTAAGGGTGGTAAGGGTATTCACGGAGTAAAGTGGTAAATCATTTTCTGACAAAGTTAACTATTATCAGTAAACTCATTCTAAATCCTTGCTGCTGAGCCAGTGTCCTTTAATTAGATAATCACTACATGCTCCTTTGTCATCTTATTCATTGTTCATCTTTCATGTGGTTTAAGGAGAGAAGACTCAAATCTGTCAATAGTGGTTAAAGTTTAACCTGGACAGGTCAGATATTCACAACTGTATTTGTAGGCTGGACTTCAACATGCTTACACATCCATATTGTCTTTGTGATGCATTTTTTATTCTGTGTTGAGTATGTACTTTAAACTTATTAAACAAAAATATAGAAATAGACACACATGCATAGAGGTCGAGACAAGGTAAGACCACCAGAGCCCCTAACTGGAAGACAGAACTGAAGGACTGGAGAAGAAACACCATTGCTGTAAAAAGATCTGTGTCCTTATGCTACCAGAAAGAACAGTTTGTACCATAGATTTTATTTTTTATTTAGATTCCAACTACATAGATTTATTAAATAAGTGAGCTAAAGTTTTGAAAATGGGAAGGATCAGTACAATGCAACTGCATGAAATTTAGGGTATTTTAAAGATTTTTTGTTACACTTATTGAAATAGTTTTAAATTATTTCAACATACAGAAAATGAAGATTGCATGTTTTGTCTATATAATGTCTCTCATCAGATCACTGCACATGTAATCATTGATTCAAAAAGATCTGCAAGCATAGAAAGAATAGAAAGAATGAATAAAGTCCATTGCTTGGTTGTGAGTCCTTTTAAAGCAGGAATTCGAGCTAGGCATACATTTTCTCATAGCCTATATATCAGTGGACAATTTGAGTGACACGAGTGGAGCATTTTCAAGCCCTCCTTCTCACATACAGGACACGGCACACAGTCTATGAGTTGAAGGGTTGAGGGAGAGGCCCACATTTGGAGTCAGGTCCAGTTCATCCTCTGACACTCCAGGTGGAGGAGTGAAACAAAAGTTTTGTATGAAGGTGGTGAGGAAGATGAAGAGCTCCATCCTGGCCAAACTCTCCCCGAGACAAGATCTGCGACCTGCAAATTAGGAAAAGGATAAACTTCAGGTCATCTGTGAGTAAACTGAACATCAACAAAACGTGATGGCTGAGTTCACAAACCTGCAAGCGTTTGACAAGGGATAGATGACAAAAAGCGAAGATAAGTTTTGGTCCTGGAGGTTCATTCTCTTTTGCCTTGGAGCTGAAGCTGGAGGAGGAGAAGCGGTAGATGAGCAGCAGGACTTTCAGATCTCCCAATAGGGAGACTGAATTTGAGGTCTGGAGAAAAATATCAAATATCTCCATTACTGTAAAACAGTCTGCATCTATTTGTTGCCACTTCTGTAAAAATGTAAGTTCAAAAAAAAGATCAAATAAACCATCAAAATGTTTTCTACAAGCTATAGGACGATTTTAATCCAGAGAGAAAGCGTGAGAGAGAAACGTCTCTGCTCAAACCTGCAACCCCATCCGCCACACCTACTGCTGCATGCAAGCACGGAGGGAGGGAGAAGGAGAAGATTACAATATAATCTATTTGGATATATTTCTTGTATTTTCCCACACGGTCTCAATAGTCATTAAATCTGTCCTTGCTTTTTAGAATAAAGTTAAAACATTGACTAACAGTTGAACTGGGCTGACAGAGCTGCTCCCTCTCTTCTCTGTTGCCGGTGCCTTCAGCCTTGTTGGGCTGAGGGGGCTTCAGGCTATTGAAACTCTGTTGCAATATCACAGCGCAGTTTCAGGTTGTTGCTACTGACTTTATACAATTATTTCAAGTAATAATAAAGCAGTAACTTCAAGTAGTAAGTAAACGGTGAAGTCTCTCTTTCTCTCAAGGAAAGCGCACTGTTATTTACTCATCTAACATCTCTGAGATTTAATATTTTAGAGATGCTCACAGTGCTCAGATTTTAACTCCAACCCTGTGTTTCTTCATGTCAAACAGTTAAACGATGTTTTGCGTTTAGTTTATTTGACATAGTTTACAGAACAGTTTTTAAAGTTAAATGTCAACCAAAATAAAAATATCTCTCCTTCGTAGTCATAGAAATAAATGCATCCCATTCCACAGCTCCACATCCCTTGGACTCAACCAGTGGAAACACAGACACTGCCACTTTACCATTTAAAAAGGGGTTTATAGTCAGGATTCAAGCACTCTGCTGCCACCTAAATTCTACAGTTATCAACTGCAGTCTCCTCTTTTACCGCTGCGTCATCTCTATGGTAACACGGCAGCAATACCGTCAAATAAAACCATTGACATCTGTAACTTTTACGAAGTATTTATGGGGCATTGTTCTCACTATAGACCCAGTAGCTGTATGAGGTAGCATGAGGTGCCTGAGTTGCTCACCTGGTAGAGTGTGCCCCATGTACCGAGGTCATACCGCAAAGGTCAGGGTTCAAATTCAGCCCAATAAACTATTCTATAACATAAAATACAGGAAAGTCATGAGCAGAATTTAAACTATTAACACGTTTATTGCAAGTGGTTTGTGATCTTTAATTAACATATATTATTGTTAATAAGCATCTTATAAAGCCCTATTACCTATTAATTAATACTTCTTACAAGAACCTCAATATAGTGTTACCTTTTCAACCAACAAGCAGTCCACAAAACTGCAGCCACATTAAAATCAAAGTTTGAACACACACAGATCATAGAGGTTTTTTGGGCAAAAGGGCAGTATTTGTTTGAAATAAAACCCAGCTGCTTTTCAGAAATCCTGATTTCATTTGAATCGTGTCTGATGTTAAAGGAATTTGATCACTGATAATGTTGTTTACCAGCTAACCCATATTTGGGACACATTTTTGATGCTTCCATTTTTTTTCTGTTTTCATTTTTTTTCAAAGATTACATTGTTCTGTTGTTTTATAGAATACAACTGCATCAATACTTCTACTACTTTTCTCTTCTTTGTTTTTATTTACATATTTGGTGTTGAGTTAATCCAGAAATAGCAGAAAGCAATCAAGTTACATTGTTATTAATTATTAATTTAATATTGTGATACTTGGATTAGGTTACTGACTACATTTTTTAACATGTAATTAGTAACTGTATCGGATTATATATGTAAAGTAGGATTACAGTTTACAATTAATTACAGCACAACTTTTTATTGGTTCTGTTGCATGCATACATAAAACCTCAACTTCCACTCCCACCTCTTTATTCCACATAAAAACATGCACGCGTGTGAAATCAGTACACATGTATAGGTATGCAGGGGTAAATAGTAAGAGCAAGAACGGATACTACTGACACAGTGAGCCTCTTTAAACTACTTTAAGGCTGATATAGTTGTGTGGTTTTGAACATATTCACTATTGTGGCAATGCATTGGATATAGCACTTATATGAATGACACTCTACTCTTTAGCATGAAACTGAGATAAATCTAACACAGGTCCAAGTCCTCCTCCTCACATACAGGGGAAAGCACACAGTTTATGAGGTGAAGGGTTGAGTGTGAAGCCCACACGTGGAGTCAGATCCAGTTCGTCTTCTGAAACTCCGGGTGGGGGAGTGAAGCGAAAGTGCTGCAGGAGAGTGGTGAAGAAGACAAAGAGCTCCATCCTGGCCAGACTCTCTCCAAGACAAATCCTGCGACCTGCAAGAGAGAGTAAAGAAAGAAAAAACGTCAGGCCAACTGCCAGAAGACTGAACATCAACAAAACGTGATGGCTGAGCTCACAAACCTGCAGAAAAAGGCATGAAGGCATCTCGCTTGACAAACTTTCCATCTTTGTCCAGGAAGTGGGAAGGATTAAAGGTGTGTGGGCTCACCCACTCACTCTCATCATACAGGACAGATGTCAAGAGAGGATATACTGTGGTCCCCTGTTGATAATACAGAAATTAAAAGGCATTTCTATATTCTAACATATAACAGCACTATTTTCAAACTGCACAAAAGTATTTTAAGGAGCACTGCTCCATTCTGTTTTGTGCACACAATGCATGGTTGATGGTAAATTTATAAGTTAGTTAGTCTCAAGTTAACATGTTTAAATGTGAAAAAATATGTACACTATACTCTTTTTAGCTTTAATGTAATTTTACTGGTACATGTATTTTGTAATTTCTAAAATATTTGTTATTTGGGTTTAATCCTTCATATGAATTATTTAATTCAGACCTTCTTAATAAAGTAACCCTGGAAAGTGATGTCTCGGCTGGTTCTGTGTGGCACTGCCATAGGGACGATGTTGGCCAGTCTCTGTGTCTCATGAATGACAGCGTCAGTGAAGGGCAGGTTCTTCCTGTCCTCGATCTGCACCTGACGACTTTCTATCACCCTGCTCAGCTCCTCCTGGACCTGGTCTGGCAGATGAAAGAGGAATAAGGATAGAACAGTAATTTCATTGGTCATCAATTAGTGTCTCCTTTATCTCTTTTATCCACATTGCCTGCATAGTGTCCGGCCAATAATGCCATGTTTTTCTGATTATGATGATTTTTGTGTTGGTAAAGCATATAGTTTGGATTGTGTGTTTAAGTGAGTGAGATGTGCATATCCATATCTTACCCTGTATTTTTGGATACTTGGCCATAAGCAGAAGTGCCCATCTGAGAGTAGTTGCTGTCGTATCAGTGCCGGCAGCAAACAGATTCAGGACTGTCAACATGAGATTATCATCATGGAAGTGACTGTTAGTAATCCCAGAATCCTGCAGGTATAGATGTATAAATATAATCTAGATTTATAGCTGTACATAGCACAGCACAGCAAGCTGATTGGTGTGCAAGTTAGTTAGTGCTATGGCAAACACAAATGAAACACCAGAGTTGGAAGTCCCACAGTCAGACGTTCAACTAGTTGTTGTTGTTTTTTTTTGCGAAGTTTGGTTTCTGACACTGAGCCAGAGTTAGAAAGCAGGAGACTCATTCAGTGAATGATGATGAAAACTTTCATTTCTCATTTTTTTTTTTTTATTTTTTTTTTATGGTTGTATAGATATAATTTATGGCAAAATTAGCTTATTTGGTTGATGTTTTAATCCTCCCTAAAACCAGAAATAGTGAAAATTATTCTCTTCATTCACTCAAAGAACCAAATCTTCAACATTAACAAATCAATTCAAATATGATGTTTTAAATCCTAATTAGAAATAATATAAACGATATAAAATGATATATAAGATAATAGAAGCTTCCAAACCTCCAGATTTTGCTTTTTGGCTAGAAAGGCGTCCACAAAGCCTCTACACATCTGTGGATTGAGGGTCTCCTTCAAACGACTGAACAGCTCTAAGTTCTGTTTGGTGACGAAGTCGGTGATCTTTAGGACTTCTTTTCTGTCAGCAACCCATTTGTAGATCCATGGGAACCAGTTGTACATCTGTTAAGAAAAAAAAGGTTCTTACCAAAATTAAACTTTTTCCCACGTACAATTAATACAATTTATTTATCATATATTTAATATTAAAGTCACTACACTAAAAACGCCATAAAAATAGTGATTGATACCTGTATAGATGGGGTCCCCACAAGTTGAACTCTTTTGTTTGTTTGATCTACCATAGTTGTAAACTGTGGGTCATCGTATTCAAATCTGCTGCCATAGACCATGGAGCAGATAATATTAGAGACTGCATAGTTCATTGATTGGCTCGTATCAAAGGCTTTTCCTTTAACAAGGAAAAAAACAAAAATAAATCAAAATCCCAGCAATTTTCTTTAACATCCCAAAAGTAGGTAATCGCACATTTGATTTAAAAAAAACATTTACCTTTGAAATTCTTCAACACTTCCATGAGGTGTTGACATTCCTCAATGATTTTGTCCTCGCATGCCCTCTTGCCCATGCCAAAGTCTCTCAGGTTAGTTATAGAAAAGCGCCTCATCTCTTTCCATGAATCACCATTGGACCATAAAACCCCTGAGATTAAATATGTTTTTAAATTAAAAGACTGATAATGGGTAAATAATGTAAACCTTTGCACAAAGTTAACAAAACAGGAAAATTATTAGCTCTTTTTATTCTTTCCTTACCATGGCCATGATTAGTTTCTTCTGCTATTAACATTGGATCTCTTTCACCAAAGTCGTCTGCATATGTGACAAGTGCCTCCTTCACCGTCTTGTACCCAGCCAGAACCACCACTTTTTGGGGTCCAAAATACACAGTGAACAGTGATCCATATTTCCTGGAAAGCTAAAAACAGTTGAATATTGTTATTATGTTATTTTTATATATATAAAACAAAAACATGTGAAGGCAGATGCGATATGACAATTATAGTAACGGTGTTGCTGCTTGGAGAGCAGACATAATCAATTACCATAAAACATTCCAGTCACTTCCTCACCTCCATTAATGTGTTATAGGGTCTCTTGAGGTCTAGGTGGAGTAGGTTGCCGAGCAGGGGAAGTGGTTTTGGTCCTGGAGGTTCTTTTTTGTGAGCCCGGGAGCTGAAGCTGGAGGAGGAGATGAGGTAGAGGAGCAGCAGGACCACCAGACCCCCCAGTAGGGAGACATAACTGGTGGACTGGAGAAAAAGATCTAATATCCCCATGATCTAAAAAAAAAAGTTTCTAGTGCACTGACAAAATATATGAATATTCCTGAGGCTTCAGCTTGGTGAATGCTTTTCTGAAGAGGGATGTCTTATGTAACAGCCCAAGGGGAGGGTCAAACTAGCCACATTAGTTGTTGCGTAATGCTTAACTATTATTATCACTATTTAACTGTGCGTGGGTGTGTGTATGTTTGTTTGTTTGTTTATTTGTTTATTAAGATCCCCTTTAACTTCAGTGTATCAGTCGCTATTCTTCCTGGGGTCCACACAGTTTATATGGTGACAATCCTATACAACTATACACACTCACATTATTCATCACAATACACTGACTCAACACACCGTAACGCACATATACTGTAGATAAGACAACAATTCACGCACTCTATAGACAAACACAAAAACAAAAACAAAACAAACAAAAGTGTGTGTGTGTGTCTGTTTTAACAATTAAGTATTGATCTTTTACACTTATTGTCAGGCAATACTGACATAGAATCGACCATTTGGAACTAATTCTAATCTATATAAAAAAGTGTTAATGCTCTCTAAACAGAGGAGGACATGGTAAATGGACTGCACCTTTCTAGTCTTCACACATATTACACTGCATATTACATTCACCCATTCACACACATTCATACACTGAGGGCAGGTGCTCTCATTTTTAAATACATGCAGATTGAGACGCATCATTCACAGGAGTTTTTGCTAATTTCTATTAATTATTCTATTTTTTTTTGGGTGATGGAAAAACTGGCATGGCCATTTCCAAAGGATCCCTTGACCTCTGACCTCAAATAAAAATGGGTAGCCTACCCATGAGTCTTCCCTTTGCAGACATGCACTATTGCAGAATTGCACCCATGCAATTTTGGGCAAAAACCATACTGTTTTCTGCATGTAGTATAAATGTGTGTTTTTGCCTAGTGTATTTGATATGTCTGCATACTGGGATACTGGGGTCCCTAAACAGTATTGGAATTGCATAAATTGTTCCTGTCACTCACTCTGGTCTGTGTCGAGGCCACACCCCTTAAAGTGATGCATTGTTTTTTTTTGCTGAGTAAGATGAGTTTGCAGAATTGAGGAGTGCAGTTATACTTTAATGAAGATTCCATGTTTTGCCTCTTGCTTTTGTTGCCATTGTATACTAAAAACAGTATTTCAGCACGTATTGTCTTGTAAACATTAGTTTTGTTATAGAGTATTCAGCTCTGTGACAATTGTAGTAATGATAAATACCCTTTGTGCCAGCTCAAGGAGTGGGGTTAACATGTGTAAAGGTTCCCACACAAATACCAGTCAATATTTGCTGTTTGGTCTTTTCAGGTCAGTGTTCTTTGTGGTGAGACTCTTAACATCAGTGTGTGTACCTGTGTTATGTAAAATGTCTGCTCACTGTTGACCTTTTTGTTACTTATGTTTTAACTTATTGAGAGTTAGACTAATCTGAATCAGGTCCCGATTGTCCTGATTTTTGTATAAACCCAGCTTAAACTTAATTATGGCATGTGCCTGCGCTTCCAGAATTTGCTGGTATTTCGTGGAATTCATTCATCCCTCCACCTGTGCAATGATATCCTGTGTCTCCTGCATTGTGGACATCAGTGGGCATCAGTACCTTTAATTTACAGACTCTTACACAGCTGCTTAGAGGAACCCATTGTTGGTGAGTGTTCACAAAGTTTAAAGAGTGAGAGTATGTGTAAAGGGTTAAAAATTGGCACCAGCTGATATTTCCTAATGACAATTGTTGACATGCCTCGGGCCTAAGGAGCTGAGATCTTGTACAAAGCATGCAGAACTCCCAAACTTTTGCACATGCCACAATGATGCTTTCTTTTGTTTTGTTTTGTTTTGATTTTCAATTAATAAAATAAAATGAAACAATGCATGAATGTTTGATGCAAATATTGTGTTTTATGTTGCATACCCTCGAGAGGCTTTGATTTACATCTTTTCAATGAAAAAAACGTTTTGCATACAACTGTATATTCATGTGAACTTTTGATCATGCTACTGTAGCAGTTGATTACTCTCTCTTGCATTGATGAATCAGGCACAAACTGTAACTTTTGGGCTCACCAGCCTCACTGTCACCAGTCATTTACTCTGATATTAACATAGTCAGTTGTGATATCAAGCTCCCAAAAATGGGAACAGCTAACAGAATGTGGGGCACACCAGGGACATGCAGACAGCTCTCACACAACAGCAACAATACTAATGTAGCAAGTCGAGCTACAGAC